TTTTCGCGAGACCCAGCCAACCCTCGGTTTTCCCCCTGGTGAGTGAATCTGTCTTCGAAAGTCCCAAATTGCAAGTGCGTGACTTTCAAAAGCTTGGACACTCAACTTCGTCAAGTTTTAAAAACTTGACCCTCGCGGCCCGCAATTTGGGACGCGGGCTTTAAAGTACTGGAGGGTTGGTTTGGAGTCTCGAAAGCATGCACTGCATCCTGAAGTTCATGAATTTTGGTGGGCGGCGAGGGCTCTCGATTCATTTTGGGGCACGCTGCCTGATCTGAGTTGTGACCCGCTACACCCTGCCTCTGCAGTGTGCCTTGGCGGTCGTACACAAGAAATGGCAGTGTGGTTTTTTTTCGAGGTCGAATCTGGCAGGGTGGGAAATCCAAAAATACTGCCTAGCTAAAACTTTTAGGTATAGCAGTCGATCCTGCCATATCGATGATTCCCAGAAGCCAGAAAATCTTGTCGAACTGGGTCTTCCTGGCTCGATTCTAAGTGGTCGTCTCTATGCGTAAGTGCGTGGTGGTTGAGGTTTTAGTGGTTCAAGGTGGGGAGATGAGAGGCCTGTCGGTGTACCACAGAAGTCCCACAAGTTTATGCTGTCCACGAAAATACACAGGGTTCCGGAAGTATAATCATACCCGATGGTTGTTTGGAGGATTTCAATTTTGAAAAGGCAGTTTCAGTCCCCCGATAACCAATATAGGACTCAAAGATGGTCGCAACTCCATGCACTGTGGTCGGAGAGTGGGTTCTGCTGACAATATCATTCAGAATACCTCTTTCTGGGGGTTGTTTGATAAGCCATAGAAGTTTAGGATGTCACATGAAAATGAATACTCAGCGTAAAATGTAGGCGTACTTTCACCATCACCACGAACGCCCGGAATATGCATTGCACTTGACAGTCCAGTCTTCATAGTTACTGCCAGCAAAGCATCATCCCCTCGCAATGACCAACTAGAAAACCCCACCAATGATGACAGAGACAAGTTAAAGCCGTGGCCCAACTATCAACTTCAACTTCAAAGTATTATAGCTTGGAAGAGGTTGACCCAGGCAGTTCAGAGCCGAGAAGTTTGTCCTCTTCTGGTTTTCCAGTTTTTTCGTCCAATAGAATTCAAGTTACTCACATGCCATTTTTGTCCCCCTACTGTTAATAAGAAGTTGCACCCCGCCTTTAATTCATTTTGTTTGTTCGCGTCATGGTTGAGACGACAGCACACCAAACCTCTGGAGTCCATCGAAGGGGATGGACGGGCGGGTCCTATTGTCCGTTGAGATACATGTGTTCTGGGTTATAGGCCCTCGCAAAAATAGCCCCTTTTCCCCCTTGGGTAGGATTTTCCGATATCGCCTTGGTGTAGCCCGACCTCTACAGTCCTTTTTTGGCGGGAAATTTTGCAGCTTGACCGAATCATTCCACGAATCAGCTCCGCAGCCAATCAGAGGGCGCAGATCGAACCAGGCAAACATAGAGGGAAAATGATAAAGAAGGGATCCTTGATTCTATATTTAACTTTGTAAATGTAATTAACTTGTTTATCTTGACCGTGCTTACTTTTGAATATGTTGCGCGGTATCCAGCGCGCTCGACGATGACATCTCATTTATCTCGCTTACAGGGTAAAACGAAAGTGTTTACCTTCTATTCATGCCCCAAACCGTAATTGATTTTGTTTTGTTTTGCCCGTTAGTCATGCGACATTGATCAACGCGGGGAACCGTGCAACGAGAAGTTGAAGCGAGCGCGGTCTGAATCTACGTAAAATACAAAGAAACAAAAAATTAGTAGCAAAACAACCGATCTGCATGCAATTTTTCTGAAACGGGACTAAAAGTATCCCGATCTGCCCGGGGTTTGAGGGTTTTCGCACATAGTGCGCGCGGCTTGTCATTCGGTCGGACTATAAACGAAAACATTTGTACATTATATAATTCAGTGTTCTGCGCCGGTCGCATCGCTCACAGCCGCTTTGCACCATAATGAACAAGGGCATCACCTCACCACCACCACCATAGAACGTGAATGCCAACGAGGAACGCATGAATATTGGAGGTGATGGGTGAGACGATGGCGGTGAGCTCGAAATCCTGTTGTCCTCTGGCACCCTGGCTCGAAATTCTGTTGTCCTCCCTCTAGTATCGACTTGTTGTTCGGTTAGGTTCGGTCAGTAGGAGGGAGTTGAAATCTCACATGGTTGCAGCTCTTTTTTGGAACTGTTGCATTCCAGCACACACCGTAGAGAATCAGATATATCCACGCTGTGTGTGGTGGTGGATGCAGTCATGACGTGAGAGTTTTCCAGAATCCAGATACTGACTAGACCGAAAATAGTCAAGGACACAGTAGTAGCCACCTGTAGACCCGAAAAAACTCAATGACTAATACTTCCGCTTCTTGAAAAATGGGCCTCAGTAGAGTAGGTGTGAAAACTTTTAAGTGTGAAGGACGTTTTGGGTAGTGGGCAAGCACACTCCAGCACCCTGATTGAAACAAGTACCGTTTGGGACGGGTAATATTGAAACTATAACTTTGTAGCAGAACTTGGACTGGAGCAGACCTGCTGATGCCATCCACAAGTGCGATCAGCGGGGCCAAAGCAGTGTCCGTCCACCCACAAAGATTTGTTTCCGGGCATGCCTTTATAATCTGGCTATTAAGTAAAACTCAACTAGACAGAGAATACAGATGTCAGTTCAGAAACAATTTGCCCTAAGTCTCGGATCTCCTGAACCAACAGGCCACTTTGGCCGTTAACCATCTCACAGGAGCGCCTACATAAGTGACTTGGTTCATTGTTGGAACATATATTCCAAACCCAGATTCAAGCTTTCGAAGTTCTTCCAAATTATCATTTATTATCCAGGAAAATATATATCGGGTCGACCGTACTCGTTCCTAAGGGCTTTCACCCCACCCCTTCTGCACCTGCTGTGGCGCTTCTTGCTGCACCAATACCCCGCTCACAACAACAGCCACAGGCTGACCATTTTCTTCTGCTGAGCATTGACTACATAGAACTTCAGCCATGAAAGAATTCTTGTGTGTACTGTATGTGGTTCCGTGACTGTCCTTGGTGTTTCTGACGTGCATCTCCATTCGAATGTTCCCTTTCACTGTGCGATGACGACCTCGCTGTATTCGTTACCGTTTTTTAAAGAGCTTCTTTACTTACGCCAAATACCAACTCGTCGACAATGGCAGAGACGAGGACTCTCGACCACAGCAATAACGACACCGGCGCTGCCGCCAGTTTGTTACCGTGACGGAAAGTAAAGCTTCGCAAAGTCTGGAAACAGCGTGTAGGGTTCAACATTAATACTCAGTCGACCTCAGCCGACACGCCGTTCTCGCAGGCCGCAGGACTCGCCGTAAATGCCACAATGATCGCAATCGATTCGCGACATCACGGCGGTCATCGTCATCACGTCGATGGCGACGGCTATGGCGACCGAGTCGCGGCCTTTGCCGACCGAGTCGTCGATGGCGGCTGGCCTGCTGCGGCGACGTCAGACGACTCGCGGTTCCCCCCGTCGTCGAGTCACCGTCAAATGCGGCTTCATCCACCAGTGAACCCCGAGTTCCACGGCCGGCGCGAGGAGGATCAGTCGTTAGATTTCGAATCGCCGTTATACCCCGAATCGCCGTTACTAAAGTGCGAATCACCGATATACTACGGATTGCCGTTAAAATACTCAGCGCGACACTTATCGCACCTTCTATCGTCGGGGGGCTCCGATTCTCGATCCGTTGTCGACTTCGGCGGCGCTTTTAAGGATCGCGATATCTGTAGCGATGCACCTGCTACCACAACGAGCAGTACGATTTCAAAGGTATTTTGTAAAATATTAGACCATACACCTACTACTATTAGAACTAGCAGCACAGAGACGGAAACTAGGTTCTGTGCTACGACTACCAGTGCAAAAACGGAGATTAGGCTTCCTCTTTGCGATACTCATAGTAGCAGTAGCAGCAGCAGTGGTAGTAGCCGTAGTAATAGTAGCCGTAGTAATAGAAGCTGTAGTATTAGTAGCCGTGATAGTAGTAGTACAGAAATTGAGTTGCTGGGTCGACGTTGCGGTTCTGTCCGGACCTCAAAGGCTCGGCGCGCTGCGAACAGCTTCCCATTTTTTCACGGAACCCGCTGGAATGCCGGCGCGTTCACGATGACGTGGCTGGTACTGTTGCTGATGTGCCAGTGGGCAGTTTTACGGACGACCGTGGGAGCAGATGTCGCGGAGGGTACGGCGGTGGGAGGAAGAAATCCCGTGAAGAGCGGTGACTGGAGCTTCGAACCCCTGGGAAGCAGTGACAGTGCTGAGAGGAGGAACTTCGGCGATGCTCGCCGGGCAAGCATTTACAGGAGTTCCTTAAATTCCCAAAATCTCCAAATTTCCCAGCGCGAAGCTCGGCGCGCATCTCTAGTCGAGGAGGCGTCAATTTTTTCGTCGACGGTTCATCCGCAATTTAGGTTTCATGGAGCCTTGCACTACCAGGACCGCCAAGCCGATTCGTCAACGACGCTGTTACCACTCGATGGCAAAATTCCTTCGCAACAAGTCACTCCGGTTGCAGCACCCTCGCGCCAATCCCCGCGCGCGACGAACGAAGCTGCTTCTTCGGTTTCGTCCCAACCTGTTTCGGACCTAGCCGCCTCGCCGTCGATCACGATTGGCTGCCTCGTGCCTGTGGATCTCACCCCCGACAGCGTTCACATGCTTGCCGGTATTACCAAGGGGGGTTTCGGTGGATTAGTCCCAGAATGAGTTCTACAGTGCTATAGTGCTATCCCCACGCTATGCTGACCTTCACGCAATCCTTCCCCGCACGCTGATATTTCCCCCACGCCGTCCTCTCCGCTTACTTCCCACACCTCCCTCCGCCAGCCGTGACTCTAGCGGTGGGTGAAATCAACCTGTCGAAGTCTTTACTGCCCAACCACACGCTGCTGCTCGCGCCGCTCAATTACACCACGCAGCCCGTCGCGGGGCAGATGGCAGGTGCGTCAGGGATCAGGGATGGGGGTGGATGGCATGTGGGCTCACTCACGTTCCATCCTCATGTGCGTAGGCATGGGGGCGTGCGCTGCACTGCATGTGTGCAGGTACCGGGAAATGTCGCACATCCATCCATCCATCATTCTACCCAGCTTACCTCAACTCACTCACATCCCTCCAACCCAGCTACCCTTCTCCCAATTTAAAATCCCGTACTAATATCTCCTACTGTTTCCCACCCCCCCCTCCTCCCCCTCCCCTCCCCCGTCTCTCCCGCCCCCTTTCCCCCCAACCTCCGCTTTCCCCCCTGTGCTCCGCCCAGCGCTCCAGCTGGCGGCGTTGGAGCCGCTGCCAGTGGCGGTGGTGATTGGGCCCGCAAGGCGAACCCGGCACCTCTGCCCAAACAACCCCTTCTCCCCTCCAACCCCACCTTCTCTCCCTCCTCCCCCAGCGCTCCAGCTGGCGGCCATGGAGCCGCTGCCAGTGGCGGTGGTGGTTGGGCGCGCAAGGCGGACCCGTCGCCTCTCCCTCACGCAACTCAGACCAGGCAGCTCTGCCCAAACAACCCCTCCCTCACCCACCCCACCCCGCCCTTCCCTCCCCCTCTCCTTCGCTCCCCGCAGCCCTCCAGCTAGCCTCAATGGATCCTATGCCCGTGGCGGTGGTGGGACCGCGCAACTCGGACCAGGCCGCGCTGGTCAGCCCCCTGGCGTCGTTCGCTCAGGTGGGCAGGGATGCGCGGATGGGGTTAGGGATGCGCGGATGGGGCCAGGGATGGGCGGATGGGGCCAGGGATGCGCGGATGGGGGCAGGGATGCGCGGATGGGGCCAGGGATGCGCGGATGGGGCCAGGGATGCGCGGATGGGGCCAGGGATGCGCGGATGGGGCCAGGGATGCGCGGATGGGGGCAGGGATGCGCGGATGGGGGCAGGGATGCGCGGATGGGGGCAGGGATGCACGGATGGGTGCAGGGATGCGCGGATGGGGGCAGGGATGCGCGGATGGGGGCAGGGATGCGCGGATGGGGGCAGGGATGCGCGGATGGGGGCAGCGATGCGCGGATGGGGGCAGGGATGCGCGGATGGGGGCAGCGATGCGCCGATGGGGGCTCCGGTGAGTGTGGCGAGAGATGCGAGACTTGATTTCATATGAGTGACATGTGTGTGGGAGGGAGAATGACTGACAGAGAGAGCCTTATGACATGCTGCCTCCTGTCTCGGTTTCCGCTTGCAGCAACCTGCTTCTAACTCTCCCAACCGCCCCACCCACCCTCCCCGCCGCCCAGATCCCCTTTGTGTCGCCGTCCGCCACGGACGTGCGGCTGACAGCGGGCGGTGACCGGCCGTACTTCATGCGAACCATTCACAACGACGGCATGGACATGCGTGCCATAGCTGGTAAGGCTTCACTCACAACCTGCAGGCAGCCAGTAACAGGTTAGGCAGTCACGGCAGGCTACTCATGATGCGTGCGGCTGACCACGGTGGGGGGCGACCGGCCATACTTCATGCGGACCGACCATCCACAACGATGGCATGGACATGCGTGCCATCGCAGGTGACTGTGGTGGAAGTGACTGTGATGGAAGTGAGTAACAATGGCAGGGTCACACACGCCATTGCCAGTGACCGTGATGGAAGTGAGTTTACTAGGAGTGACTGCAGCGGAAGTGACTGTAACGAAAGTAGAGATGGTGCAGACACGCGTGCGCCATTGCAGGCAACTGTAAATGGTAGAAGTGGCTGTAGCGGAGGTGGTGGTTCCAGCAACATTCGGTTCCCATGTTCATTATCCATGTAGTCATTCATTTCAGGGAGTTTTTGAGAAATCTAAAAAACTCCCTCCAGCAACATTCGGTTCCCGTGTTCATTATCCATGTAGTCATTCATTTCGCTGCCATCTGTCGATCACCATTCGCTTGCCTGTCCATTCACCCGTGCGTGCACATCTTCGGACGTGCAGAGTTCCTGGCGTTCAACAAGTGGAGCGAGGTGATCGTCATTCACAGCGACAACCGCTTCGGCCGCAACGGCATCGCGTCACTCAACGGCTATCTCTCCGTACAGGAGGTGCGCCCTCATCCCATCTTGCCTAACCCTTTCATATGCATACTCTCTGTGGACGGCACTTCTCTACATTTCTAACGAATTTGGCTATACTGAGTACACAATATGCTGTGGTTATTCTCCACGCCTCCCACTGTAGCACACGCACGTATGTTTGAAGACCGTACACTTAGCTGATTCAGTTCCCAAGTCCCTCTGCTTTACCTCACTCCGCTGCCTCTGCTCTTGTTTCTCCCCAACCCTCATGCTCTCATCGCAGCAATGGAAGGTCAGGATCGCGACACGTGTGCCGATCAAGACAACATGGTCGGTGGCGGATACAGCAGCAGCTCTGGCGGCGGTGGAGCGGCTGGATCCGGCGGTCTTTGTGGTCCATGCCGCTGCTGCCCTCTGCGCCGTCATCTTCTCTGCTGGTAGGAACTCTGCTTCTGCCCTCTCCTGCCACTGCCCTCTGCTGTTCCTGGCTCTGCTGCCACTTCTCTGCTGCTACCTCTGCTGCCTCTGCTGCCTCTGCTGCTGCCTCTACTGCTGTGAGTCGATCCAAAACACACCTGCCCTCGTGAGTCGACTCAAAGGACACCTGCTGGCGGCGGTGGAGAGGTTGGATCCGGCGGTGTTTGTGGTGCATGCTTCCGCTGCCCTCTGCGCTGTCATCTTTGCTGCTGGTAGGTCACTGCTGTTGCTGCTATTGCCCCTTGCTGCTGTTGCCTCTTCTGTCACCATAATGACTCAGAATGACGTGCCACCTTCCTTCCTTACACGTTCCCTGCCGCCTGTCACATGCATGCAGCGAATCAGATGCAGCTGGTGGGGAAGAACTTGGTGTGGGTGGCATCGGAGGGTGCGCTACTCACAATGACGTGTCATGTTTGTTGCTTCCTCCTGCCACGGTCCCCGCCTCTCACATGCAGCGAATCAGATGCAGCTGGTGGGGACAAACTCGGTGTGGGTGGCATCGGAGGTGGCGGCACTCATAATGAAGTGTCACGTTCGTTCCTTACTCCTGCCACATTCCCCGCCTATCACATGCATGCAGCGAATCAGATGCAGCTGATTCTTGAGCGTCTCAGAAGCCCGGCACTCATAATGTCGTGTCACGTTCCTTCCTTTCCTTCCTCCTGCCACACGTTCCCCGCCTCTCACGTGCATGCAGCGAATCAGATGCAGCTGGTGGGGAAGAACTCGGTGTGGGTGGCATCGGAAGGAGGGGCACTTGTCAATTCCACCATGCTGCAGAACGTTGAGGTGAGGCGGGGCCTGGGGTAGGGGCGCCTGGGGTAGGGGCGCCTGCGGAACGTAGAAGTGAGATGGAGCCTCGTATCCGTCTCACTCTACTCACATCTCACTCACTCCACTCATACCCCTCTCACTCTTCTCATGCCCCTCTCACTCCTCATGCTCCTCTCACTCTTCTCATACCCCCCACTCATCTCGTACCCTCATTCTCATCTGATACCCCTCTCACCCCTCTCACACCCCCTATAACGCCCCTCTCCCTCCCCACACACAAGCCCACTCTCTCACTCCCCTCACACCCGCTCACTCCTCCCACACCCTCCCACTCCCCTCACACCCGTGCGACCACCAGGGCATGGTTATCACTTCGACCTATCTCCCTCCATCTCCGCGTCTCACCTCGTTTCGGGAGAATTGGGCCAACCTGAACCCCATACGCTTCCCCAACGCTAGCAAGGAGGTGAGTTCGTCTCGAAGTCTTCTCCAGCAGAGAGTGAAAGCCATTTCGTGTGTCCCTTCGTCAGCCAGTCAGTCAGTCAGTCCTGCACCCTGGCGGCCTGTTACACCTCTTACCCCGCCATCTCTCCTCCCTGATCTATGGCAGCACCAGGGGCTTCCAGCAGGGAAAGCGAGCTCTCTCAGCTTCAAGCTGCCTTCCTTTCCTTCCCCTCCTCTCCCTCATCTCCCTCCTCACGCCTCCCTCCCCCCCCAGGAGCCCAAGTCGTACACATTAGCAGCATACGACGCCACGTATCTCATAGCCTGGGGGCTGCACTCCCTGCTCTATGGCAACCACAGCACTGCCGCCACTGCCAGCACCACCAGCAGCAGCAGCAGCGGCAGCAGCAGCAGCAGCGGCAGCCTCACACAGTGCAATGCTGACCCTTCATCCCCTTCTCAATCACCCCCCTCTCACTCACCCATACATCACCCACACCCGCCACTATCACCCCCTTTTCACCCACACCCGCCACTATCACCCCCTTCTCACCCACTCCCGCCCCATGCACCCCCACCTGCCATAAACTCACCCCTCTGGCCGGGAACGGTGCGCGCCGCCGCCGCCGCTGCCGCTGGTGCTGCTGCTGCTGGTGCTGCTGCTGGGGTTGGTGCTGGTTCTTCTGCTCGTAACACTGATGGAGCTGGTTGCAATGGGGCCACTGGTGCTGCTGGTAGTGCTGAGACTTCGTCTCCTATTCTGCAAACGGACTACAGAGGCATCGGCAAGAGGGAGCTTCCTCGCCAGCTGCGCGGAGTGAAGAGGAGCTTGGGTGAGTGCACACAATAAGAGGAGCTTGGGTGAGTGCACACAATAAGAGGAGCTTGGGTGAGTGCACACAATAAGAGGAGCTTGGGTGAGTGCACACAACAAGAGGAGCTTGGGTGAGTGCACACAACAAGAGGAGCTTGGGTGAGTGCACACAACAAGAGGAGCTTGGGTGAGTGCACACAACAAGAGGAGCTTGGGTGAGTGCACACAACAAGAGGAGCTTGGGTGAGTGCACACAACAAGAGGAGCTTGGGTGAGTGCACACAACAAGAGGAGCTTGGGTGAGTGCACACAACAAGAGGAGCTTGGGTGAGTGCACACAACAAGAGGAGCTTGGGTGAGTGCACACAACAAGAGGAGCTTGGGTGAGTGCACACAACAAGAGGAGCTTGGGTGAGTGCACACAACAAGAGGAGCTTGGGTGAGTGCACACAACAAGAGGAGCTTGGGTGAGTGCACACAACAAGAGGAGCTTGGGTGAGTGCACACAACAAGAGGAGCTTGGGTGAGTGCACACAACAAGAGGAGCTTGGGTGAGTGCACACAACAAGAGGAGCTTGGGTGAGTGCACACAACAAGAGGAGCTTGGGTGAGTGCACACAACAAGAGGAGCTTGGGTGAGTGCACACAACAAGAGGAGCTTGGGTGAGTGCACACAACAAGAGGAGCTTGGGTGAGTGCACACAACAAGAGGAGCTTGGGTGAGTGCACACAACAAGAGGAGCTTGGGTGAGTGCACACAACAAGAGGAGCTTGGGTGAGTGCACACAACAAGAGGAGCTTGGGTGAGTGCACACAACAAGAGGAGCTTGGGTGAGTGCACACAATAAGAGGAGCTTGGGTGAGTGCACACAATAAGAGGAGCTTGGGTGAGTGCACACAACAAGAGGAGCTTGGGTGAGTGCACACAACAAGAGGAGCTTGGGTGAGTGCACACAACAAGAGGAGCTTGGGTGAGTGCACACAACAAGAGGAGCTTGGGTGAGTGCACACAACAAGAGGAGCTTGGGTGAGTGCACACAACAAGAGGAGCTTGGGTGAGTGCACACAACAAGAGGAGCTTGGGTGAGTGCACACAATAAGAGGAGCTTGGGTGAGTGCACACAATAAGAGGAGCTTGGGTGAGTGCACACAATAAGAGGAGCTTGGGTGAGTGCACACAATAAGAGGAGCTTGGGTGAGTGCACACAATAAGAGGAGCTTGGGTGAGTGCACACAATAAGAGGAGCTTGGGTGAGTGCACACAATAAGAGGAGCTTGGGTGAGTGCACACAATAAGAGGAGCTTGGGTGAGTGCACACAATAAGAGGAGCTTGGGTGAGTGCACACAATAAGAGGAGCTTGGGTGAGTGCACACAATAAGAGGAGCTTGCGCGATGCCACCAATCACTAGCTTACGTTTTTCCCGATATTACTGTTATTATATATAAAAAATCGCGGAGCTTGCGTGAGTTCACAGTTAGTGGAGCTTGCGTGAGTTCACAGTTAGTGGAGCTTGCGTGAGCTGCATTCCCCGACAGCTAGCCATGCTGTCAGGCACCCTCGATGGGTTCAGAGGGCGTGTTTTGAGAAACAGGCGTGTTTTGAGAAACAGGCTTGCAACTTCCCCTATTGCCTTGCCTCCTCTCGTTGTCTCGTGGTGTTCCACCCCTCTCCTTACCTTCCTCCTTGTCTCCCCGGCCTTTCTCCGCTCCACAACTCCTCTCTCCCTGCTCGTTCACGTGTGCAGTGGGCCCCATGCTTCGCCAAGCCATGCTGTCAGCCACCTTCGATGGGGTTCGGGGCAGGTGAGCATCTGATCCAAGCTTCCAGCGGGATAGCCCCCAGGCGAATCCTGTTTCGGGTCATGGGGTTCAGAAAGACCCACGTAGCCTTCCTTTCACGCGTGCAGTCGCACAGTGATCCCCCATGTTCTCTGACTAGCCACGTTGTCAGCCACCTTTTATGGGGTCTGGGGCAGGTGAGCACTTTTGAGGCGCTTCAAAGTGGGGTCAGGGTCAGGGGCATGGCAGGTTGTCTGACTGCCACGTCTGGTGTTACCACTTTTCGACTTCTCGGCCCAGGTTAGCAGCTTTCACGAACACCCCAAGTGGGGTCAGGGTCAGGGGCATGGCAGGTTGCCTGACTAGCCACGCTGTCTGCCACCTTTGATAGGGTCCTGGCAGGTGAGGATCCAAGCTCGTAGCGGAGCGGAATAGCAACAAAATCTGGAAAAGACGGTCGAAACAACAAGAGAACGAAACTCCTCCTGGCACGGTCAACGCAACAAGGTAGCTGCGGCCTGCAGTCGAACGTGTCTCGCATCCTCACCATTTGCATTTCCCATCCTCGCATGCTCCCATCGCTGCAACCCCCGCAATGCCCAGCCGGCCGGTACCCCCGCCCCGTGTTTCTCAAAACACGCCCGTCCTCCCCAAGGCATTGCCGAAACATGGGATGATTTCCACCCATCCGCCCCACACCTCCAGGGTGGCTCTCAACACGAATGGCGACCTGCACTCCAACGTGAATCATCGTCTCAGCCTATCCACTCCTCCCATTCCCTCATTCAACCATCCTCCCGATGTCCCCCTTTTGCCTCAGTGTTTGTACCAATCCTCGGTGTTTGTACCAATCCTCGGTGTTTGTACCAATCCTCGGTGTTTGTACCAATCCTCGGTGTTTGTACCAATCCTCGGTGTTTGTACCAATCCTCGGTGTTTGTACCAATCCTCGGTGTTTGTACCAATCCTCCCTCCCTATTCTCCAGGATCTCACTCAACTCGCACGGAGACCTGCAGTCCAACGTGACTCGCATCCTCAACGTGCGCAACGGCACCGCCGTGGAAGTCGGCTTCTGGACCTCCTCGCTGCTCCTCACGCCCTCCCTCGACGTACGCACACCCCTCATTGCGTGAGAGCTTTGTGAGACTTTGGACCTTCGAGGCACCTCAAAGGTTGCTGTGGAAGTCGGCTTCTGGACCTCCTCGCTGCTCCTCACTCCCTCCCTCGATGTACGCACACCCCTCTTTGTGTGAGAGCTTTGTGAGACTTTGGACCTTTGAGGCACCTCAAAGGTTGCTGTGGAAGTCGGCTTCTGGACCTCCTCGCTGCTCCTCACGCCCTCCCTCGATGTACGCACACCCCTCTTTGTGTGAGAGCTTTGTGAGACTTTGGACCTTTGAGGCACCTCAAAGGTTGCTGTGGAAGTCGGCTTCTGGACCTCCTCACTGCTCCTCACGCCCTCCCTCGATGTACGCACACCCCTCTTTGTGTGAGAGCTTTGAGAGACGTTGGACCTTTGAGGCACCTCAAAGGTTGCTGTGAAAGTCGGCTTCTGGACCTCCTCGCTGCTCCTCACGCCCTCCCTCGATGTACGATCCCTTTGAAGATTCGCCCGTTTGTGTGAGATTTAAAGTAGAGTCTGCAATGGGGCCTTCTTTGATGTACTCTTGGGAAAGGGGCCTCCCTCGTGACTCAGGACCGACCTCCTCCCTGCAACTCACGCCCTCTCTTGATGTATTCCCTCCTCGATGTAGACATGCCTCCCTCGATGTATTCCCTCCCTTGATGTATACCTGCCTCCCGACATGCGCAAAGACCCCCATTTCCTCCCAAGCTACATCTTGAGAAGGCTCCAGTGGCCTCTTTTGTGTGCTGTGTGCATGTAGGCACCTTTTGAGACGTCTCCAAAGTCATCGCATGCCTAGCCTTGTGTGCCGTGTGCATGTAGGTACCCCCCGTGAACGGCACATCACACATGTTTCGAAACGTCTCAAAACTCTCACATCACATGCCTTCTGTGTGCTGTGTGCTGTACCGTGCCGTGCCGTGCCGTGCCGTGCCGTGCCGTGCCGTGCCGTGCCGTGCCGTACCGTACCGTACCGTGCCGTGCCGTGCCGTGCCGTGCCGTACCGTACCGTACCGTGCCGTGCCGTGCTGTGCTGTGCTGTGTGTGTGCAGCTACCCCCCATGAACGGGACATCACGCATGCTCAACATCACCTTCCCAGGCAATGCTACCAAGGTGCATCCCTACCCTTCCTCGCCTTTCTGACAATTCTTGATAGCTTCTCACTCTCATCACATGCATCACCCTCCTCTCTTCTCCTCCTCCCTGCCCTGCTCCCTCCACCCTCCTTCCATTCACCCTCCACCCTCCTTCCATTCACCCTCCACCCACCTCCAATCTCCCTCCTCGCATCCCCCCATCACCCGCTCCCTCCCTCCACCCAACAGCCTCCTTCAGGCGCCTTCCCACGCCGCAAGCTGCTGCTAGCCGTTCCCTACAAGAAAGGCTTCCAGCAGTTTGTCAACATCACTCGCACCTCCTCCTCCTCCGCCTCCTCCTCCTCCTCCTCCTCATACTCCTTCTCGGGATTCACAGTGGAGTTGCTGCGTCTAGCACTGAGCAAGATGCCGTACCAAGCAGACTATGAGCTCGTGCCGTTCGGGGGGGATGGCGGCAGCGGTGACGGAAACGCTCTGGTGGGATACGATGACATGCTGCAGGCCGTGGCAGATGAGGTAATGGCTGGTCGTGAGGTAATGCAGGAAATGGTAGCGTGTGACAAGGTAATGGCATCGTCGTAAGGCTAGATAGGATCTGATTTCTGAGGCGCCTAGAAGGTTCTCGGTGGAGTTGTTCCGCCTGGCGCTCAGCACGCCGCCTGGAGTTGAAGGGAACGCCCCAGTGGGATACGGTAACATGCTGCAGGCCGTGGCCGACAAGGTAATGATGGCAGGTTCACGGCTGAAGGTTTCGAGGTTGGGGGTTTAGGGTCGCTAGTTGTGTTGCTTCTGAGAACTTTTGAAAGAAGCGGTGAAGGGAGAGCTCCGGTGGGATACGGTGACATGCTGCAGGCTGTGGCCGATGAGGTCATGGTGCCACCGTGGTAATTGTGGTAGAGGGGGTGTGAAGGGTGTTGGGCTTGTGCCGTTTGGGGGGGATGGCGGCGGTGGTGACGGGAGAAAGCAACCCTAAACCTGACTCGTGGGTTGAATATATATTTGCACATCTGTATTTCTGTTTGCCGCTCACATACATCTGGCTCATTGCATCTGCATTGTGGGGGGTGGCAGAAGTTTGATGGGGCCATTGGCGACATCTCAGTGACGCAGGCGCGGAGCAAGCTGGTGGATTTCACACAGCCCTTCATGGTTCGTTGCTCACGCTCTCGTCTTTATTTCTCAAAGCCGTACATGGTGCATTGCTTAAGCTGTCATATATCAAACATAAGGCTCAGTAATGCACTTCAACTTAGTACCAAACATAAGATCAAGTAACGCACTGACTTTTAGTAGCAATCATAAGGGTAAGTAACGCACTTAAACTCAGTGGCAAACATAAGGTTAAGTAACGCACTTACACTTGGTACCAGACATTAGTTTTGTAAGGCATTTACTCCTAGTACTTATCCAAGTAACGCACTTATTCTTTGTACAGAACATCAGCTGTGAGTGTGATCGCCTACGTGCCACCTTCCAGCAGCTGGTGGGTGCCACTCGCGCCCTTCAAACCTTTTCACCCCTTTCCAACCCGCTTCACCCCCCTCCAACCCCCTCCTAACCCTTTACAATCCCTCTCCACCCCTCCCAGGCATCAGCAGTGAGTGTGATCGCGTACGTGCCGCCCTCCAACAGTTGGTGGATGGCACTCGCGCCCTTCACGTTCCTTCACCACTTTCCATCCCACTTCACCCCCCTCCAACTTCCTCCTATCCCTCACCACCCCTCCCACCCCTCCCAGGCATCAGCAGAATGTGATCGCCTACGTGCCGCCCTCCAGCAGCTAGTAGATGGCAGTTGCACCCTTCACTTCACCCCCATCCTTGTCTCTCCTCCACCCACCTTCAACCCATTTCAACCCCGCTTTCTTCCTCTCCAATCCCTCACCACCCCTCTCCATCCCTCCCAGGCATCAGCAGTGAGTGTGATCGCATACGTGCCGCCCTCCAGCAGCTGGTGGATGGCACTCGCGCCCTTCACGCCCTCCATGTGGGCGGCGTTTCTCGGCATGACTTTAGCCACGGGGCTCATCACGGTGTTTCTCGAGTGCCGCCAGAACTGGGAGTTCCAAGGGAAGCTGCACGAGCTGCTGCAGCACGCGCTCTGGTGGGTTGGTCATGCTGGCTTGACCTATTAAGTATAATTAAACTAGAATGCAGAGTTCCAAGGGAAGCTGCGCCAGGGGAACCCAGAGTTTTTGTGCCAATCCGCCCCTCTCTGTGTTGCCCCTGCCAATCGGTCCCTCTTGTGTTGCCCCTGCCAATTGGTCCCTCTTGTGTTGCCCCTGCCAATCGGTCCCTCTTGTGTTGCCCCTGCCAATTGGTCCCTCTTGTGTTGCCCCTGCCAATCGGTCCCTCTTGTGTTTCTTCTGTTGTGTCCCACTCATCCCTTCCTCCCACAGGTTCGGCTACCTCTCTATCTTCTCCTTCCTTGGTACGACCTCCATTCCATTGCTCCACTTTTGAGAGTTTCAATCGTGATCTTAACATACCGCTCTACCTTTGAGACGTCTCAAAACTCTCTACCTTTTGAGACGTCTCAAAACTCTCTACCTTTTGAGACGTCTCAAAACTCTCTACCTTTTGAGACGTCTCAAAACTCTCTATCTTTTGAGACGTCTCAAAACTCTCTACCTTTTGAGACGTCTCAAATCTTAATATACCTCTCTACCTTCTCCTTCCTCGGTACGACCTCTATTGCTCCGACTCGTCCCTCCTCTCCGCCATCCTCACTCTCAAACGGTCCGTTGTATTGATTCAGCAGGGGTACAGACAAGCATTTTTATCCATGGTAACCTCAATCCCTCACCCTCACTCGCACCCTCACTCTGTCCGCTCCAGCTACAGTCAATTCTCGTGATAACTTCATATCAGCCTCCTGCCGTACCTCTCCCATCTCCTGCCGTACCTCTCCCATCTCCTGCCGTACCTCTCCCATCTCCTTGGAAATTCCCATTCCTTTTTCCTTTCCCGGTCCCCCCCTTGTTTCTTCTCCCAGAGAAGCCGGTGCGGTCTGTGACTGTGACTGTGACTGTGACTGTGACTGTGACTGTGACTGAGACTGCGTGGATAGTGGTGTCGCTGTGGCTGCTGGTAACCTTCTCATGCTCATCTCCCACCTCTCCCATACACCCCTTCCCCCCCAGTTCCCATGTTCTTCTCCTGTTCCCTTCTCCCAGAGAAGCTGGTGCGGTCTGTGACTGTGCGGATTGTGGTGTCGCTGTGGCTGCTGGTAACCCTCTCATGCTCATCTCCCGTCTCCCACGCACACCCCTTTTTCCCCCCATTGTTCCGTCTCCCACGCACACCCCTTTTTCCCCCCATTGTTCCGTCTCCCACGCACACCCCTTTTTCCCCCCATTGTTCCGTCTCCCACGCACACCCCTTTTTCCCCCCATTGTTCCGTCTCCCACGCACACCCCTTTTTCCCCCCATTGTTCCGTCTCCCAGAGAAGCCGGTGCGGACATTGATTGCGAGGATCGTGCTGGCGCTCTGGCTGCTGGTGACCTTCGTTGTAGTCACGTCGTTCACAGCCAACATGACGTCTATAATCACGGTCAACATGCTCACAGTGCCCTCGCTGGACGTCAACAGTGTGATCAATGCCAACAACCCGATTGCTTACCAGGCGGGCTCATTCATCGAAGGCTATCTCACGCAGCTGGGCGTGCAGAAGGTATGAAGGGCAAGGGCTATCCACTGCTGCCATTGGGTACAGTGTAGTGTGGACAACGACAGGCATATGTTTTTTGAGAATTCTCAAAAAACATACTGTGTAGTGTGGACAACGACAGGCAAGGGTAAAAAGGCATCTTCAGGTCATTCATCGCCTCAAACGGCACTCAAAACAACCCCATCGCTCACTAGGCAGGCTCCTTCCTTGACGGCTATCTCACGCAGCTGGGCGTGCTTAAGGTAAGGTGGCTCATGTCCTTATATTGAATGAGCAAATGGTCTACTGAAGGACACCTGAAGATGCCTTCTTACCCTTGCCTTCATTCAATTTACCTCTTTAATGGTCCGTATATTGAATGATCGCAAGTCCCACGCCTCCGCTCTGTATCCTTTATAGCACATCCTGCTACTGTTTAGCACCACAGAGGAGCACTTCTAAGGTGCCTCAGAATCTCTCTTGCCTGCCCTTCTGTTCCACGCCCCCCTCCCCCTATCTGTACCCGTTACAGCACAACATGGTACCGCTGAGCAGTGCGGAGGAGTACAGCAGTGCGCTGGTGACTGGGAGGCCGAGGGCGATGGTGGTGGTGCAGAGAGCTAACCACTGCCTCTTTCCATCCCACAACCCCCTCCTTTCCGTCCCACACTACCCTCCTTGTACCCCTTATAGCACAACATGGTACCGCTGAGCAGCGCGGAGGAGTACAGCAGTGCGCTGGTGACTGGGAGGGTGAAAGTGGTGGTGGATGAGGACCCTTACCTGGACCTGCTGAGAACAAACCACTGCAGCATGGCGCAAGTCAAACAACCTTACTCCTTCCTCAGCATGTCATTCGTGAGTGAGATTGTGGGATTGAGGGTGCCTGAGAGTGTTTGAGTGAAAGGGAGAGGGAGTGTAGGTGAGTGAGTGTGTGAATGTGCGGGTGGTGGTGGCGAAGATCCGTATTTGGGGCTGCTGAGAGCGAATCACTGCAGCATGGCGCAAGTCAAGCAGCCCTACTCCTTCCTCAGCATGGCATTTGTGAGTGTGTGAGAGAGTGAATGAGCCAGAGAGTATGAGAGTGAGTGAGAATGAGTGTGTGAGAGCGAGAGTGTGACGAAGGCTCGAGGGAGTGGCATCTGGGAGGGCAAGGGTGGTGGTGGACGAGGACCCTTACCAAACCCCTCCTCCTCCCTCGTCCCCTCCCCACCAAACCCTCCCTCCCTGCATCCACCGTTCCCCCCCACCCAGGCCTTCCAGAAGGGATCGCAGCTCCTCAGAGACATCTCAGCTGCGATTCTCCACCTGACCATGACAGGCGAGCTGGACCAGCTGCAGCAGGACTACCTGCTGAGAGGCACCAGGCAGTACCTGCTAGGAGGCCCCAGAGAGTACCCCTGAAGCAAGGAACTTCAAACCCTAAACTCTCTGCATGCACCCCTCCCCCTCCCAGGCCTTCCAGAAGGGATCGCAGCTCCGCAGAGACATCTCAGCTGCGATTCTCCACCTCACCATGACAGGCGAGCTGGACCAGCTGCAGCAGGACTACCTGCTGGAAGGCACCAGGCAGTGCCCTGACACGCTCATGCGCCCCGGCGGTGCTGGCGAATGAGAACTTCCGGGGGCTGTAAAAAGAACACAAACAAAGCAAAACAAAACAAAACAAACCCCCTTCCACCCTGTATCCACCCTTCCTCCCTCCCAGGCGTTCCAGAAGGGGTCACAACTCCGCAGAGACATCTCAGCGGCGATTCTCCAACTCACCATGACAGGCGAGCTGGACCAGCTTCAGCAGGACTACCTGCTGGGAGGCACCAGGCTATGTCCCGACACGCTCATGCCCGAAGCCCCGGCGGTGCTGGCGAATGAGAACTTCTGGGGGCTGTTTGTGGGGTATGCTGTGGTGTCTCTCTCGTGCTGCCTGCTGTATGTCGGGCTGCTGGTGTTCCGCGGCGCCATGGTGGCCAGGTGAGGGGGGTGCGGGTGGGGTTCAGGGTGGCTGTTAGAAAGTAGAAGTGGAAGTGGGAGTGGGAGTGGGGGTGGAGGTGGAAGTGGGAGTGGGAGTGGGGGTGGAGGTGGAGGTGGGAGTGCGGATGGGAGTGCGGATGGGAGTGGGGATGGGGGTGGGGGTGGGAAATTAATGTCCCTGCATGCCTGTTTACACACATCCTTGCGTGTTTCACAGCTTGTTTCTCACACTCTGCTTTACCCCCTGTGTTTCACATGCTGATTTCACATGTTCCGCACTCTGCTTCCTCCCCTGGATGTCCTGTCGCAGGGAGCTGTCACGGCAGCAAGCCAAGTCATACAACGCCGACATGGCAGAATTTGTCCCCACAGAAGCAGCAGATCAGGCTGCACACATGACGCCTCAAAGGTTTCTCACACTCTGCTTTACCCCCTCTTTCTCCTGTCGCAGGGAGCTGTCACGGCAGCAAGCCTAGTCATACAACGCCGACATGGCAGAATTTGTCCCCACAGAAGCAGCAGATCAGGCTGCACACATGACGCCTCAAAGGTTTCTCACACTCTGCTTTACCCCCTCTTTCTCCTGTCGCAGGGAGCTGTCACGGCAGCAAGCCTAGTCATACAACGCCGACGTGGCAGAATTTGTCCCCACAGAAGCAGCAGATCAGGCTGCACACATGACGCCTCAAAGGTTTCTCACACTCTGCTTTACCCCCTCTTTCTCCTGTCGCAGGGAGCTGTCACGGCAGCAAGCCTAGTCATACAACGCCGACATGGCAGAATTTGTCCCCACAGAAGCAGCAGATCAGGCTGCACACATGACGCCTCAAAGGTTTCTCACACTCTGCTTTACCCCCTCTTTCTCCTGTCGCAGGGAGCTGTCACGGCAGCAAGCCTAGTCATACAACGCCGACATGGCAGAATTTGTCCCCACAGAAGCAGCAGATCAGGCTGCACACATGACGCCTCAAAGGTTTCTCACACTCTGCTTTACCCCCTCTTTCTCCTGTCGCAGGGAGCTGTCACGGCAGCAAGCCTAGTCATACAACGCCGACATGGCAGAATTTGTCCCCACAGAAGCAGCAGATCAGGCTGCACACATGACGCCTCAAAGGTTTCTCACACTCTGCTTTACCCCCTCTTTCTCCTGTCGCAGGGAGCTGTCACGGCAGCAAGCCTAGTCATACAACGCCGACGTGGCAGAATTTGTCCCCACAGAAGCAGCAGATCAGGCTGCACACATGACGCCTCAAAGGTTTCTCACACTCTGCTTTACCCCCTCTTTCTCCTGTCGCAGGGAGCTGTCACGGCAGCAAGCCTAGTCATACAACGCCGACATGGCAGAATTTGTCCCCACAGAAGCAGCAGATCAGGCTGCACACATGACGCCTCAAAGGTTTCTCACACTCTGCTTTACCCCCTCTTTCTCCTGTCGCAGGGAGCTGTCACGGCAGCAAGCCTAGTCATACAACGCCGACATGGCAGAATTTGTCCCCACAGAAGCAGCAGATCAGGCTGCACACATGACGCCTCAAAGGTTTCTCACACTCTGCTTTACCCCCTCTTTCTCCTGTCGCAGGGAGCTGTCACGGCAGCAAGCCTAGTCATACAACGCCGACATGGCAGAATTTGTCCCCACAGAAGCAGCAGATCAGGCTGCACACATGACGCCTCAAAGGTTTCTCACACTCTGCTTTACCCCCTCTTTCTCCTGTCGCAGGGAGCTGTCACGGCAGCAAGCCTAGTCATACAACGCCGACATGGCAGAATTTGTCCCCACAGAAGCAGCAGATCAGGCTGCACACATGACGCCTCAAAGGTTTCTCACACTCTGCTTTACCCCCTCTTTCTCCTGTCGCAGGGAGCTGTCACGGCAGCAAGCCTAGTCATACAACGCCGACATGGCAGAATTTGTCCCCACAGAAGCAGCAGATCAGGCTGCACACATGACGCCTCAAAGGTTTCTCACACTCTGCTTTACCCCCTCTTTCTCCTGTCGCAGGGAGCTGTCACGGCAGCAAGCCTAGTCATACAACGCCGACATGGCAGAATTTGTCCCCACAGAAGCAGCAGATCAGGCTGCACACATGACGCCTCAAAGGTTTCTCACACTCTGCTTTACCCCCTCTTTCTCCTGTCGCAGGGAGCTGTCACGGCAGCAAGCCTAGTCATACAACGCCGACATGGCAGAATTTGTCCCCACAGAAGCAGCAGATCAGGCTGCACACATGACGCCTCAAAGGTTTCTCACACTCTGCTTTACCCCCTCTTTCTCCTGTCGCAGGGAGCTGTCACGGCAGCAAGCCTAGTCATACAACGCCGACATGGCAGAATTTGTCCCCACAGAAGCAGCAGATCAGGCTGCACACATGACGCCTCAAAGGTTTCTCACACTCTGCTTTACCCCCTCTTTCTCCTGTCGCAGGGAGCTGTCACGGCAGCAAGCCTAGTCATACAGCGCCGACATGGCAGAATTTGTCCCCACAGAAGCAGCAGATCAGGCTGCACACATGACGCCTCAAAGGTTTCTCACACTCTGCTTTACCCCCTCTTTCTCCTGTCGCAGGGAGCTGTCACGGCAGCAAGCCTAGTCATACAACGCCGACATGGCAGAATTTGTCCCCACAGAAGCAGCAGATCAGGCTGCACACATGACGCCTCAAAGGTTTCTCACACTCTGCTTTACCCCCTCTTTCTCCTGTCGCAGGGAGCTGTCACGGCAGCAAGCCTAGTCATACAACGCCGACATGGCAGAATTTGTCCCCACAGAAGCAGCAGATCAGGCTGCACACATGACGCCTCAAAGGTTTCTCACACTCTGCTTTACCCCCTCTTTCTCCTGTCGCAGGGAGCTGTCACGGCAGCAAGCCTAGTCATACAACGCCGACATGGCAGAATTTGTCCCCACAGAAGCAGCAGATCAGGCTGCACACATGACGCCTCAAAGGTTTCTCACACTCTGCTTTACCCCCTCTTTCTCCTGTCGCAGGGAGCTGTCACGGCAGCAAGCCTAGTCATACAACGCCGACATGGCAGAATTTGTCCCCACAGAAGCAGCAGATCAGGCTGCACACATGACGCCTCAAAGGTTTCTCACACTCTGCTTTACCCCCTCTTTCTCCTGTCGCAGGGAGCTGTCACGGCAGCAAGCCTAGTCATACAACGCCGACATGGCAGAATTTGTCCCCACAGAAGCAGCAGATCAGGCTGCACACATGACGCCTCAAAGGTTTCTCACACTCTGCTTTACCCCCTCTTTCTCCTGTCGCAGGGAGCTGTCACGGCAGCAAGCCTAGTCATACAACGCCGACATGGCAGAATTTGTCCCCACAGAAGCAGCAGATCAGGCTGCACACATGACGCCTCAAAGGTTTCTCACACTCTGCTTTACCCCCTCTTTCTCCTGTCGCAGGGAGCTGTCACGGCAGCAAGCCTAGTCATACAACGCCGACATGGCAGAATTTGTCCCCACAGAAGCAGCAGATCAGGCTGCACACATGACGCCTCAAAGGTTTCTCACACTCTGCTTTACCCCCTCTTTCTCCTGTCGCAGGGAGCTGTCACGGCAGCAAGCCTAGTCATACAACGCCGACATGGCAGAATTTGTCCCCACAGAAGCAGCAGATCAGGCTGCACACATGACGCCTCAAAGGTTTCTCACACTCTGCTTTACCCCCTCTTTCTCCTGTCGCAGGGAGCTGTCACGGCAGCAAGCCTAGTCATACAACGCCGACATGGCAGAATTTGTCCCCACAGAAGCAGCAGATCAGGCTGCACACATGACGCCTCAAAGGTTTCTCACACTCTGCTTTACCCCCTCTTTCTCCTGTCGCAGGGAGCTGTCACGGCAGCAAGCCTAGTCATACAACGCCGACATGGCAGAATTTGTCCCCACAGAAGCAGCAGATCAGGCTGCACACATGACGCCTCAAAGGTTTCTCACACTCTGCTTTACCCCCTCTTTCTCCTGTCGCAGGGAGCTGTCACGGCAGCAAGCCTAGTCATACAACGCCGACATGGCAGAATTTGTCCCCACAGAAGCAGCAGATCAGGCTGCACACATGACACCTCAAAGGTTTCTCACACTCTGCTTTACCCCCTCTTTCTCCTGTCGCAGGGAGCTGTCGCGGCAGCAAGCCTAGTCATACAACGCCGACATGGCAGAATTTGTCCCCACAGAAGCAGCAGATCAGGCTGCACACATGACGCCTCAAAGGTTTCTCACACTCTGCTTTACCCCCTCTTTCTCCTGTCGCAGGGAGCTGTCGCGGCAGCAAGCCAAGTCATACAACGCCGACATGGTAGAATTCGTCCCCACAAAAGCAGGCATAGAGACTCCATGTCAACACACTCTCACACTCTCACACTCTCACTCTTCCCCCTGCGTGTGTGGCTTCTTGCAGGGAGCTGTCACGGCAGCAAGCCAAGTCATACAACGCCGACATGGTAGAATTCGTTTCCACACAAGCGGCAAATCAACCCGCACAAGCTGCGCCTCCTCCTGCCGTTACCTTTAAGAGCGACTCGCTAGCGTTTATAGAGGAGCTTGGAGATGAAGAGGAGGAGGAGGATGGAGAAGAGGAAAACTTTTACTCTGCCCGTATGAAGGGCGTCGTTGATGCCGATGATGGGAATGATGTGGGTAGTGGGAAGGAGGAAAAACTTGTGTTATCAGCACCCAAGGGGCCTGCTCAGGCAGAGGGTGCTGAAGATGGGGTTGAAGAATGTGGAACCGCAGCAGCGACAGCGATGGGAACAGCAACAGCAACAGCAGCAGCAACAGTTCTGTCACCCGTATTGCCGTTAACACGAGGAGCATCAGCAATCGCAGTGGCATCACCAATATCACCAGAATCAGCAGAATCAGCAGAATCAGCAGCAGAAGAAGCAGAAGTAACACCAGCATCACCAATCGCACAAGCATCAACAGTAGCATCTGCTGATGCTACCGCAGAGCAGGGAGCAGCGCAGGGGCAAACCAGCAAGCCCGGTATCAAAGTGGCAGCGAGCTTTGAAAGGTCTCAAAAAGCGCAGCGGCAGTCAAGCAGACCTGGTATGAAAGTGGCTGCGAGCTTTGTGGCGGTGGCCTCTCTGCATAAGAGAGTCGGCAACCTCGTCGATCGCTTTCAAATGGTACCTCCTTCACCCTCTACCCAATAGTTTTTGTTTGCTCTCATTCAATTTGAGCACCTCAGCAGCAGACTTGATCAGTTGGTGGCGGCATAGACCAGCTTTGTTGCTGTGGTTTCTGTGCATATGCGAGTGGGCAACCTCGTCGATCGCTTCTAGAAGGTGCATCCCTCACTCCCTTCCTCGTCATGTGTGTGTGTGTGTGTGTTTTTTTTTTTTTTTTTTTTTTTTTGAACGCCCCAAGCAGACCCTCACTGCTCACAGAAGCCCCCAACCTCTTCAATTTCCCCTAGGTCCTTCCTGTTCACCCCCACCACCACCACCCACAGGGTCAAGAGTGTGGAGC